TCACCAAACCCAATGAGTATTGTAAGTGGAAAATTCCAAAATAATAATCAAATTTGGTGAAATTATTTCTTTGTGTGCCAATGCAATTTCGTTTCGGCCTTGCGCAGTGCACAAAAGGTTTGACAAAGTGAGAAATATGCATGGCAAACAAGGAGCGCAAGAATTTCACTTCCCTTCCCTCTATACCCTACACCCGCCCCCGATCCAGTCTCCGACCCCGGCCACTCCCCTTTCGCCCCTTTGACTGCAACAAGAAAATATGATGACATATCGCGTCATAGTTCAAACGGCAGGGAATCCACTGATCAATTTTGTACACAGCACGGCGCCATCTTTTTGGCCCTTGCATGAGAGCAGGATTTTACTTTTTTCGAGGATTTAGTATGCATTGCAATGGGCTGAGGGGTGGAGGTGGAGGTGGGGTTGGGTTGGGGTTTTGGCCTGGTCAGTGGCGCACTGTGTTTTGTTATGTATCTTTTTCGGTTGCTTTCGCTTCGTTTCGAGTGAGCCAAATCGCAGGCCATAATTTTTTATTATCCCGAGCCCAGGGAAAAAGAGAGCGGCAAGGCTTGGGCTGTTGGCTTCCGTTGGTGGAGTTGGCTCTTGGTCCGGAGTAGCCATAAAAATAATTAATTGGCTTTTATGTGGCAGGAGCCGTTGAAATTTCGCTTGTTTTTCGAACTCACTCCACTCCCTTCGCCTCCGTGGTCCTTGGCTTGGCAATGCAATTTCGGAATTGCATTTGCCTGTTTAATTAGCCATATTAATTATCTTCATAATCAGCATCTGTTTTGTGGTCACACACACACAAACGCAGCTCATTTCCGCTTTTGGCGTCAGCCATTTTGTTTTTATCCGTGGCTGATTTGGCGACGTAATTAGTTTTTGCGGTTTTTCATCGGACATTCGACCACAAATCCAATTGCTATTTCGGTTGATATTCCCATGGAATATACGAGAAAGATCTAAAATGTGGCCCCTTTTGAGATTCTGAACAATTTCTAACCCGACGAGCTGATATCGTACAAGTACTTAAAAGAAGTAATTTATTTTAACGCACTTGGACCGGCTCAAAACTTCTTATTATTATTTAAAACTCGTTTGTATTTTGCTTTTGCTTTACTTTACTTAAAAAAGTAATAATAAGAAAACAAATTGGTTTTCCATAGGTTTCTACCCATTCAAATAATAATGAAATATTAATTATAACGGTCTAAAATATGTTTTACTTTATAAGGTTAAATAACTACCAAAATTAAATAAAACGAATTTTGCAGAGAGTATTATAATTCCAGTCGAAAGTTTCCAAGGCATTGAAGTGCTCGTTTCCTACCCTATAAAGTATATATGTATATTCTTGATCAGCAACACCAGGAAAGTCGATCTAGCCATGTCCATCTGTCAATCTGTCCGTTTCTACGCACACTAGTCCCTTTAGTTTTAAAGGCATTTGAATAAAACTTTGCAAACAGTCTTCTTTCTGTGGCATGGTAGTGTTACTATATTATACAGCTCCCATAGGAGCAATTTGTAAAAGGGGAAAATAAAATTATAACTATACTAGGTAAGTATTTTAAGCAGCTGCCATAGGAACAATCAGGTACAAGGCAAATAAAATGAAAACTTCTTTGTTTCTTAATATTTATCCATATACTCCAAAATATAATAATTTTTAAGGATTTATAATTTTATAAAAATGGAACGACTTATCACATACCATAGAACAATCTTAAAATTTATAAAAATCGAAATAGAGAATATTTAATTTTTGTTAAAGCTGCAGGGGTATATAAAATTTGGCTCTATTTTGTAAATAGAAAAATTGAAAAATAAATAAATAGTAATTAAAAATACCCTTTCAATGTGTCCGTATTGGGCGTTTGGAAACTGTAAACGTTTGACATTTAGATTTTTCCACACCTTTCCCGCTAAACCAGCGGCGTTTTTCAAAGGCCGTGATCATATGATTTTTGTTTAGTAAAACTAAGCCGCGACTTGATGAATGTCCATAAACAAACCAGAAAACATTTTCATTTTGAAAAGAATAATTTATTTTAAATAATACAGCAAGTGGCATTTTTAGGTAGGGTAAAATAAGGACATCCTTAAGAAAATTGCATGAAGTTACCTACGATAACTTTGCAAGAACTTAAGTAAGCAATTATATTAAGTTTAATAATAAACTTAAATTAAGCATTCACATTGGAAACCCAGCTTGTAAAACGAAACTATAATGTACATCAACCCAAAATTTTTAAGGTATTAATTTAATTTTTTTATATACGAATAGTTTCGTTTCTATATATTTTCTTTTGCTATAAAAAAAGGTTATATTTTTCTTGCCAAAATGTAAAGTTTTATCACAATTGAATTATTTCTTGGATAAAACACAATACACTTGATTAACTAACGGACTTTACTTTTGCCCATTTTGCACAGGTTTTTCATTATAATGTTCATTCCCCTTACCTTTTGCTTAATGATATATCATTCATTTCCCAGCCCTTTCATTCAGCTGGGTTTATTCCACTCCTCCTTGTGGAACCATCATCATCACTATCATTCGTTTTCATTAATTTATGCGCAGAAAACTGCAGCACAGTATGAAGCATTTTCTTTCGTTGTTATTGCTGGAAAATATTTTCCGTGGCATAAATCCCGAGGAAAATTATACGAAACTAGAATGGTGTTGAAAATACACAAGACGAGGGTAAATAAGCGAGATATTAATGGGTAAGAAGAAAATATAAAATTAATAAACATAATTACTCGACATGCCCAGTAAGGTTCCATAAGTAACGGAATAATTGGCTAAGGAAAGTTTTGTTTGACTGACCACAAACTATGTACTGGAGAAATTAGCTGACGAGTGGACTTAATGAGTTTCTCAACAAAAATATACAAAATGTGAATGGAATCAACAAAAAATTTGTGACGTGGATACTTTAAACATTTAAAATTCTGTTATTTTAAATAATGGTTAGGAATCAACTGAACAGGTTCAGACGGTTTTCAAATGCCATAAATTAAAAGAGGCCTAAAATCAAATCAACACTAATGAGTTTTCGTAACTGAAAAACACACCAAATTAGAAGGGTCACAAAAGGTAAAACTTGGTAAGGCCGAACAAATAACCCTTAAAATCGAAATAAAAAAAGCGGTTTAAAAAAAGGCAAACTTAACTGCGCAATTCGCGGTGGGCAAAAGCGCACGTCCCTAAGAAATATATTTTCGCAATGTTTTCGCGCCAGAAGGGAATTACAATAATAAAGACTAAAAAGCCAACAAGAACGCATAATATAGCTGATCTGAATAGTTAGATGTGTGTGCCCAAGTTAATGAGGCGGAAATGCAAATAATACAACCGCACACAAATATCCACGGGCCAATTGTTCACTTACCCGTCCTCTGATGACGATTAAGGAAAACTTCAACGACGATGATGATTGTGATGGCCATTGCCTATACATAGTTCACGTATAGTATGATCCATTGTTCCGCTGGCATGACATTTCCACAGGGGAAGCGGATTCAAAAACAAATGACTGAGGCGAAGGTTTATGGGATGCTGCGCTTTTGTTGTTTTTTGTGCCTACACGACGACCTTGTCCTGCAAACAGTAGGATAACAACAAACAATAAAAGCCTTCTGACATAACCGAAAGTCGGAAGATGAATGACAGAATTCGAGAACGAACGCGGTTTGCCATTGCAGTTCAATGCTTTCGATTATTTTTTGATAGCTAAGAACATTAACTAGGGTCAAAAATACTCTTTGTATGTAATTGAATTAGAACAAGAAAGGAAAGCTAAATTCGGGCGGAGCCGAAGTTGATATACCCTTGCAGAATACTCTGTAAATTATATTCTTCAAAATTATTCATATGATGCATTCTTAATACTCATAAAAAATCCCAACTTCCTAACTTTAAAAACACCAAAGTTATGCCATTTTCAATCGTTCAGTTATATGGCAGCTATAGAATATAGTCGGCCGATCCTTATGAAATTTGGTAGGTCGGATTAATTGGCCAAAAATACAATCCATAGAAAACCTTAACTTCCTAACTTTACAAACATCAAAGTTATGACATTTCCGATCGCTCAGTTATATGAAAGCTATAGGATATAGTCGGCCGATCCTTATGAAATTTAGTATGTCGTATTGATTGGCCAAAACACCAAAGTTATGGCATTTCCGATCAATCAGTTGTATGACAGCTATAGGATATAGTCGGCCGATCCCGGCCGTTCCGTCTTATATACTGCGTGCAAAGCAAAGAAGTGTGTGTGCAAAGTTTCAATTCGATATCTTTAAAACTGAGAGACTAGTTTGCGTAGAAACAGACAGACGGACATGGCTACATATATCAACTCAGGAGGTGATCCTGATCAAGAATATATATACTTTATAGGGTCGGAGATGTCTCCTTCACTGCGTTGCACACTTTTGACCAAAATTATAATACCCTCTGCAAGGGTATAAAAACGACGAATGGATGCTGGCAGTGCTGATTATGAACCAAAGAAATATTATTTTTGAAAGTTTAAAGGCAGGACTGAAAATTATCAATATTTTATTGTTACTCATTTCATTTAAAAACATCACAAATAATATTCTTTTTAATCTAGTCCACAAAGCGTCTAAAAGTTATTCAAATCGGAAAACAATAATACTTTATAACTTTATTACTACTGACATGAGTAATTTTAAAAACCAAAACAATGTTAAAATCCCAGTAGTCTTTTAAGAACAAAAGTCTAATAATTTCAGTTTCAGTTCCAGATTAAATGTAAATAAAATATTTTATTTAATAAAAGCCTGGTACCGAAATGGTTATTATAAAAAAAAGAAGTAAAGATATTAAGCCACAATCGAGATGAACAAACGATGAACCTTTAAAGTAAAAAAATATTTGTAACTATAAATGAACATTTATTAAGATATAATAATATATGTTTTATTCAGGATCACGGATTTTTGAACTTCGATCTACATTATTTTATATTTGTGATAGTGTCGAGCTTGGCTCAGCAATTTAGTCGAAGTTTTTAGCTCAGCAAATATGTCAAATAATCCATGCAATACAATCCATTGTTGCTTTATTGATTTTTGGCCTGACTCTCCAGAAGTTTTCGGGTTTGAGCTTCACGCCTCTGCTTGGCCACCTCGAAGGCCGTGATCTGCTTCCGGGGACGCGGTCCGGCCTTGGTGCGGTACCGCTGCTGGCGCACGAAGAGCGGCCTGCGCTGGTTGAGCCACCAGCCGAAGTCCGGCGGAATCCGGCCGAACTTGCTGACCAAGTTCCGGTGCCGTTGGATGTCCTCGCGCCTCTCCAGCCACTTCCGGCCGTACTCCCAGCCGAGCAGCCAGCCCATAACGGGCTGCTTCTCCTCGCACAGCTCCGGAATGGGGTCCGGTCGTTCTGCCGGCGGGAGGATCGCTGCCCCGTGATCCCTGGCCGGAATGAGCGGCGAACGGCTCCAGGTTTTGACTTTCGAAATCATACTCGTGTGTAAGTGTCTGCTCTTTTCACTTGTTGTCGTGTCGGTGGTGTCTGGTTTTCGACTGAGCCTGGCTGAGACTGGAGTCTCTTACTTGATGTGTCAGGGCCAACTCTTCATTTAAGGAAAGCCATTGGCGAACTGAAAACAATTTCTTGTCTTTGTATTGGTTGGTTCGTTTAGAGGGACTAATTGTAAAGTTACTTTAATAATGGTATTAATCTGTCACTTGTGCATTAATAATTATAAGCTAGTTCTAGCACTCCATGGATCAATCCACAAGTCAGACATTTCTGGTAGCACTGGCTTCCACAACAGTTAGATCATTTAAATAGTTGTTGTCGGCTGAAAAATTTTAGCATTTTGGTTAAAAAAGGTTATAACTACGTACTGGAATACGTAACATTTACTGTTGATAGCACTTACATTTCGGAAAATTCAACCGACATTTATCGATTGGAGCATTTTCTGAGCAATTTTTGTTGTGTAAAGGTTATTTCAACAAACACAAAAACAATTATACCTTTAGAACACCTTACCTTTTCTTTTAAGTTGTATAATTTTCCAGAAAAAAACTTTGTAGGCTTTATGACATATATAACTGTTCGACATTCTATATGTACAAAGATAGCTAGGAAAAATCTTTTGGTAAAATGTAAGCAATAAAATATTAAATATTATGTTGTTTTTTTTTTATTTTACGCATTTGTAAAAAAATTTTAAATAGAACGCCTGAAAAATATATTTCATTGTCAATTAACATATTTTTTAGAGATTTTTGGATGTGATCCATAAAAAATTCTTGTAAGCATTTATATTAGAAAACAGGACAAGTCAATAATTAGAAATAAACCTAATCAGGACTGCATCAGTTGTTGTCTAGTCTTATTTAGTCTGCGCTTCTCAAGCCAACTGCTGTAGTCGGGTGGAATAAAGTTGGCGGCTTTCTTTATCTTTTTCTGTGTTTTCTTCTCATGAGAATTACGCTCATCCAGCCACTGTCGACCATAGTGCCACGATAGAATCAGGCCCATTTGGGGCTCCTCCTGCTCGTAAGTTGGTGTAAATGAATTGTGCCTGACATTTTTCTCGGCCAGCTCACTTTCTGGTCGGATTATCTTTGCGGGCACCCAGTAGTTCTTCTTTACCATGCTGTTGCTTTATCGTAGGAGCTTAAAAAATATAACTCATCCTACATAATATTTATATCTCGCTTAAAACTATTTAGCTCGATGGGAAACTCAAGGATGGAATGATTTCGGGCTTAACAATGTTTCATAACAGCTTTGAATTTTCTTTTTAACGATGTTAAAAGTATATACATATACATATTCTTGATCAGAACCGCCAAGATGGCAAGATTATTTTATATTTACCTACAGAGAATGTATGAGAAGAGACTACAGTGTATAGCCGCTAAATTGAAGATCTGCTATGGTAGTTCGTATTTTTTAAAAGTCGATTGGTTCAGGAGAAATTGCGGTTGAGGTGAAGATAATTTGATTTAAAATACCCGTATGATTTGGTTTTTTCACAATCTATTCTTAAATACACGTTTAAAAGGTAATTCAAGTTTAACAAGAAAGGGAGCAAACTTCGGCAAGCCGAAGACGGACGGACAGGCAGAGATGGCTAGATCGACTCTCCTCGTTATGCTGATCAAGAATATATACTTTATAAGATCGGAAATGTCTCCATGGGTATAAAAAGGCAGATCAGATCGGATTGGTCAAATTATTTCTCGAACTTCAAGATAAAATGTTTTGCTTATTTAAAGATACCGTGATAATTCGAAAACTGCATTGTTATTGAGGTAAAATATATTTAAAAGATCGCCAACTGCTAATTGAGTTAGCACAAGCAAGCTGAGGCGTAGAAAATCCATACAAAAACCCGACAAATCTTGCTAATGGACATAATAGCTGTACGCGAACACAAATGAAACAGACAACAAACCGCCCATCGACAAGGGTCGCAAATTGGGAGGAAAATACAAACAGATGTAAGTCCGAGCGTAAAACCCGAACAACCCAAAAGTGGAGAAACTGGAAATGTGAAAAGCACGGCATGAGGGCCAAATCAGCGGGGGCGACCAATAGGTCAAGTACGAATTGCATTGGTCCATACCATCGGGGGCTGCGGAAGTGAAACAGTGGGATGGAGCTCTAAAGTGCCCAGAACAACGCGTGCCAAAAGGTGCAAAAGGCCTTAAACGGAAATGGGAAGACATCTGTTTTAGCAGTAACTATATTCATTCACAATTTACAATAGACAATTATGCAATCAAAACTTGCCGAATTTGCAATGAAACCTGGTATAAAATGCTAGGGATACAAAGTGGTCGCAGCATGATGTAAAGTCGTCGAAAATTCCTCATCTTTCCAGTTTAATTATGAAAACGTTTTGGGAAGTGATGCCAACTCGAAACCATCAAAATGTTCCAAATCATTATTAAAAACAAATTATCCAAAGAACAATACAGATAAAATAGCGGTCTATGCTATAGATGATAGTTAAGACATGTTGCACATTTTTGTTTTGAAAATCAAAGGTATTTAAAAACTTTCATAAAAAATGGTGATTGTTTTGTTTTTGTTTTTTACATATATACATATATGGTAATATTTTAAGAATTTTTAAGCTTAAATCAAGAACGTTTCAGATTACTGTGGCATTTTAATCCCGAATCGGGATTAATTTAACCTTTTAATCCCGAAACGTGATTAAAAATTTCAAGAAAACGCGTTCTATATTCAATCAAAATATTCTTGATTTATTCAGGATATTTTTTTATCTGTGTACCCATGAATAATAATAACAAGAAAGGAAAGCTAACTTCGATATTCTGTAAATTATATTGGTTGGCAAAAATATAACCCATAGAAAATACCAAACAACAAAGTTATGGCATTTCCGATCAATCAGTTATATGGCGGCTATAGGATATAGTCGGCCGATCCCGGCCGTTCCGACTTATATACTGCGTGTAAAGGAAAGAAAGGTGTGTGCAAAGTTTCAATTCGATAGCTTTAAAACTGAGAGACTAGTTTGCGTAGAAACAGACAGACGGACATGCTTATATCAACTCAGGACGCGATCCTGATCAAGAATATATATTCTTTATAAGGTCAGAAATGTCTCCATCACTGCGTTGCACACTTTTGACCAAAATTATAATACCCTCTGCAAGGGTATAAAAATACTATTTTAAACTAACACAATTAAAATTTAAAACAAGAAAGGAAAGCTAACTTCGGGCGGAGCCGAAGTTGATATACCCTTGCAGAATACTCTGTAAATTATATTCTCCAAAATTATTCATATGATGCATTCTTAATACTCATAAAAAATCCCAACTTCCTAACTTAACAAACACCAAAGTTATGGCATTTCCGATCAATCAGTTATATGGCGGCTATAGGATATAGTTGGCCGATCCTTATGAAATTTGGTAGGTCGTATTGATTGGCCAAATTTTAAACCCATAGAAAATCCCAACTTTCTAACTTTACAAACACCAAAGTTATGGCATTTCCGATCAATCAGTTATATGGCAGCTATAGGATATAGTCGGCCGATCCTAATGAAGTTTGGTAGGTCGGATTGATGGGCCAAAAATAAGACCCATAGAAAATCCCAACTTCCTAACTTTACAAACACCAAAGTTATGGCATTTCCGATCAATGAGTTATATGGCAGCTATAGGATATAGTCGGCCGATCCTTATGAAATTTGGTAGGTCGGATTGACTAGCCAAATATAAAACCCGTAGAAAATCCCAGCTTTCTAACTTTACAAACACCAAAGTTATGGCATTTCCGATCAATCAGTTATATGGCAGCTATAGGATATAGTCGGCCGATCCCGGCCGTTCCGACTTATATACTGCGTGCAAAGGAAAGAAGGGTGTGTGCAAAGTTTCAATTCGATATCTTAGCGTATGAGAGCGTAGAAACAGACAGACGGACAGACAGACGGACAGACGGACATGGCTATATCAACTCAGGAGGTGATACTGATCAAGAATATATATACTTTATAGGGCCGGAGATGTCTCCTTCAATGCGTTGCACACTTTTGACCAAAATTATAATACCCTCTGCAAGGGTATAAAAATGAGATCACTGCAAAATTATGGTACCGTGTATTTTGTGTTTAGATTTTGTACTGTATTGACGGTTGAGTTGTTCACAAAATTTTTTTCTTATAAGTAGCATCTTTCTATGATCCGGTTTTGCTTATTTTAATTAACTGTGAATTAACTATAAAATTGGTAAAGAACTGGGTTTTCTCCCACTTATTTATAATTCCCAACAGGTTCCAGACCCACAATACCTACAAGTCAGACAAAGAAAAGCTAAGACATACTTCCAAGCTAGCTAAAAGACAAGTCGAGTTATACTTTCAAAAGATTTCTAATAAATTTAATGACAGCATTAATAAGCATAAAACCTTTCCGGTACCAGCGATCATCTTTAATTTTTTTATACCCTTGCAGAGGGTATTATAATTTTGGTCAAAAGTGTGCAACGCAGTGAAGGAGACATCTCCGACCCTATAAAGTATATATATTCTTGATCAGGATCACCTCCTGAGTTGATATAGCCATGTCCGTCTGTCCGTCTGTCCGTCTGTCTGTCCGTCTGTCTGTCCGTCTGTCTGTTTCTACGCGAACTAGTCTCTCAGTTTTAAAGATATCGAATTGAAACTTTGCACACACTCTTCTTTCCTTTGCACGCAGTATATAAGTCGGAACGGCCGGGATCGGCCGACTATATCCTATAGCTGCCATATAACTGATTGATCGGAAATGCCATAACCTTGGAGTTTGTAAAGATAGGAAGCTGGGATTTCCTATGGGTTTTATATTTGGCCAATCAATCCGACCTACCAAATTTCATAAGGATCGGCCGACTATATCCTATAGCTGCCATATAACTGATTGATCGGAAATGCCATAACTTTGGTGTTTGTAAAGTTAGGAAGCTGGGATTTCCTATGGGTTTTATATTTGGCCAATTAATCCGACCTACCAAATTGCATAAGGATTGGCCGACTATATCCTACAGCTGCCATATAACTGAACGATTGGAAATGACATAACTTTGGTGTTTTTAAAGTTAGAAAGTTGGGATTTTTTATGACTATTAAGAATGCATCATATGAATAGTCTTGGAAAATATAATTTACAGAATATTCTGCAAGGGTATATCAACTTCGGCTCCGCCCGAAGTTAGCTTTCCTTTCTTGTTTTTGAATGAATCTTTTAATTTGTTAATTATACATAAATAAAAACTTTGTCTTAACTTCCTTTTGTTGGTAATGGTAATTATTACGTAAAGTAAGTACAGAATAAATGTCATCATTTCATATAATTTTCGTATCTAACTTAGTACCTTTTGAGAATTATGAAAACCCAAAAAAAGAAACAAGATTATAAAAACTAAAAATTTAGTCCTTTATAATTAGGTCTTGGGAAATAATTGAAGGCCAAAATGATAATTAAAATCAAAAACTTAGCCTTAACGCTTGTTACTGACAGTTCTGTCGTAACCCCCATCGTTAAGGGGACGTATTGATTCTTCCAAAATATCGTTTTTGACCCAATATTAATTCACAAAAAAATTTGATTTGAAATACTGTGTTTGATTGCCATGGACATGGAATTTTTACCTTGCTGGCAGTTTTTTTTAAAGTTAATTCGGAGCACAACCCATATATGACTGTAAACCAGCTAAGTTGGCTCCACTGGTTCTCTGTTCGTCGGTGACTGCTGCCTTTCCGCTCACACACCGTTCTGCTGTCTCTGTCCTTGTCTGGGACTTACCATTGCGCTCCTCTGCCCGCCTGTCGTCATTTCTCATCGCCGCTCGGTTGTTTCCTTGTAATTTGTCACCGCTGGAGCTCATTTCTGCGGCGTAATTTGTTTGCAACTCATTTCGGGATTCATTTCCATGGCTTGTCTCTTTCTGTTGTTTGTTTGCCTTTGTTTTGGTCAACGGTCTTGGTGCATTTAATTAAAATTATTATTGCTTGTAATTGGGGTGCGGAGGCGAATATGAAAGGGGTTATTCATAGAAATTTGTATTGTATAAATTGAGTAAAATTGGAGCACAAATTCACAAATTGAGTGAAATTGGAGCACAACTGGGGATGGCAAAAATTGGTTACGTAGGTAGATGTGTACACACTGAATAAAATTATACATTGTTAC